TCAGTTTGTGAGCTCTTCTCTGTCGCCCTGAAGGGTCACTGTATTCTGTATGAATGCATGGCATGATACAACTAATTTAAGAGTCTTTTATAAATAAAGTTTGCATTAACTATACCTGACTCCCAAGATGCTCCATATCATGGAGTGTTGGGCAGCAATTTTTTAACTTCTTTTGGTACCAGCTGAGTATTCAGCCAGTTAGGGAAAGGTTCATTACTGCTTACAGAGCTTCCCTTTTTCTTGGCTCACAGACTTGAAGCTGTCTTTTATTCCTTTGGAATGGAAGGAACTCTCCTTTCCTGCTCTCCACATGCAGCTCCTAGGGAGCAGAAAAATCTCATCCTTCCTTGTTTTGAGATTTTGGTCATGATTTCCCTCTGCTCATCACCAGTCGTTTGAAGGAGCTCTTGGGCATCCTACCACTTTGCTGACCAAAGGCACACAAGATTGCGCCGAGATTGGCTGGGCTTCAGTGGTTCTCACACTACAACTAGATTTGTGTTCATTTGACTCATGGAGTTTGGGACAGCTTAGTGGTTTCCTGCTTGGTTATATGAGTCTCTTTTGGTCCAGGCTAATAGTTGCTTCACGTTCAGTCAGAGTAAGGATGAGAAAGTGAGCTGAGTATTCACCTCTGGAATAAATTCACAAGACCTCCCTCCACAGTCAGAAAAACTCTTCAGGATGAAAAGGTTCTGGATTGAGGAGGAGATTTTGGGCAGTTGTAAAGTTCAAAGGAACTTGTCTGTTGTAGCCCACCTTCAACTCAATTGATGTCTAAGAAATGAAAGACTGATGGAAGATTAATCCTGTAAAGGTTCCAGTCATCGTTTTCAGGTGACCCTGGAGCCTCCCGAAATTAAACTTATCTCTCCTTTATAGTGGGAACATGGGAGTGGGTATTTGTTCACCCAAATACCCAAAGTGGGTATTTGGAGGCGTTTCCTTCTATAGTAGAAAGACATATTTAGAAAGAATGGCTACAAAGGCTGGGCCTGGTGGCTCACTCATATAACCTTAGCGTTTTGGGAGGCTGGGGTGGGTGGATCACTTGAGCCCAGTTCAAGACCAGCATGGGCAACATGGCTCTACCAAAAAAAAAAAAATTAGCTGGGTATAGTGGCTCAAGCCTGTAGTCCCAGCTACTTGGGAAGCTGACGTGGGAGGATCATCTGAGCCCAGGAGGTCAAGGCTGCAGTGAGCCATGATCACTCCACTGCACTCCAGCCTGGGCAACAGAGCGAGACCCGGTCGGTCTCAAAAAAGAGGAGAAAAAAAAAAAGAGTGGCTGTACTCCGGTCTGGAATTAGCACAGCTGACTTGAAAAACCCAAGTACCTAGAGCTTACAACACTGACTGCTATGTTGGAAGAAAATAGACTTACAAGAATGTGTGTTCTTGTTTAAAAAGCAGGTCCTGCATGTTACAGGCAATTCTGAATCCCTTCCCCCTTGATCGAGATGATGCCCTGGGCTGCCACATCCTGCAAGCTCACTACCTTTCAGTCAACCAGAACCAAAGAATGAGGCCAAGGAACTCTGTCCTACTTGTTTTCTGATGTGTTGAAAAAGGAGAAAAGAAAATGTTAAGGGGAGGGTGCTAAAGATCCCTATCTCAGGTCCCTTCCCCTGAAAACCACGTTAGAAGATCCTAGGTCAGGTACTGTAGCCACAGGATTTTCCTGCTCCACTCCACTATCCTGTGCCTAAGGCAGATGTTGATCTTCATTCTTTCCCTGAGCTCATGCATGCGACTTGTCAAGACGGAGCCATGCTCCATCCCACACTTGTGACCTCTGCCCACAGTAACCGTGAAGAATGTGCTCTGAAAGGGTATCTTTGAAGTTTTTTTTTTTTTTTGAGAGGGATTCTTGCTGTGTCGCTCAGGCTGGATGGCATGCAGTGACGTGCCTCTCTCCTCACTACAACCTCCACCTCCTGAGTTCAACCAATTCTCCTGCCTCAGCCTCTCAAGAAGCTGGGAAGCTGCGATTACAGGTGCCCACCACCACACCCGGCTAGTTTCTGTGTTTTTAGTAGAGACAGGGTTTCACCATGTTGGCCAGGCTGGTCTCCAACTCCTGATCTCAGATGATCCACCAGCCTCAGCCTCCCAAAGTGGTGGGATTATAGGCGTGAGCCACCACGCCCAGCCTATGACTCATAACTTAAATTTGAGGTCTCATTTCTTGGAAAAATAAATTGCTCCAGCTGGGAACTGCTGTGTGAGGAAACATTCCAGAAAGCAACTACCCCACTGATGGGCTATTTCCAGGGCCCAAGAGAGGGAGGAGGTAAGCAGCAGAGGAACTTTCAACAGCTAGGCCCAATGCCCAGTCTAGTTCCCAGGCAATAGTGAGAATACGAGTGGTGGTAGTTCACAGAGAGCTTACTAGGCACTAGGCATTGTGCTAAGGACACCATGTAAGTTCTTTCATTTAATCCTCATAACCGTATGAGGCAAGTAATGTCATTATATATACCTTTTAATATACAGGTGGCCCTCCAGATCTGTGAGTTTTGCATCTGCAGATTCAGCCGACTGCAGATTGAAAATATTTGTGGGGAAAGAAAACAATAATAATAACACAATTAAAAATAATACAAATTTTAAAATAATACAGTATAACAACTATTTACATAGCATTTATGTTCTACTGGGTATAAGTCATCTAGAGATGATTTGAAGTATATGGGAAGGCTGGGCAGGGTGGCTCACGCCTGTAATGCCAGCACTTTGGGAGGCCCAGACGGGTGGATAACCTGAGGTCAGGAGTTTGAGACCAGCCTGACCAACATGGTGAAACCCTGTCTCTACTAAAAATACAAAAATTAGCCCGGCATGGTGGCGGGCCCCTGTAATCCCAGCTACTCGGGAGGCTGAGGCAGGAGAATCACTTGAACCCAAGAGGCAGAGATTGCAGTGAGCTGAGACTGCGCCATTGCACTCCAGCCTGGGCAACAAGAGCGAAATTCCAACTCAAAAAGATAAAAATAAATTTTTAAAATGAAGGATATGAGAGGATGTGCATAGATTGTATATAAACTCTGCCATTTTATATATGAGATTTGAGCATCTATAGATTTTGGTATGCATGGTGGGTTCTGGAGTCTATCCCCCATGGATACCACAGGATGACTGCATGAAGAAACTGAGGCCCAGGGAGGTCAGGTGACTTGACCATGATTTTCTCTCTTAATGTTGGAACCAGAATATGAGCCCAGGCCGGGCGCGGTGGCTCAAGCCTGTAATCCCAGCACTTTGGGAGGCCGAGACGGGCAGATCACGAGGTCAGGAGATCGAGACCATCCTGGCTAACACGGTGAAACCCCATCTCTACTAAAAAATACAAAAAACTAGCCGGGCGAGGTGGCGGGCGCCTGTAGTCCCAGCTACTCGGGAGGCTGAGGCAGGAGAACGGCGTAAACCCGGGAGGCGGAGCTTGCAGTGAGCTGAGATCCGGCCACTGCGCTCCAGCCTGGGCAACAGAGCGAGACTCCGTCTCAAAAAAATAAAAATAAAAATAAACAGAATATGAGCCCAGGCCGTCTGATGGTGGGGACTATGCTCCTAACTACTGTATCCCACAATACTGTCAAAGTTTTTTTGTTGTTGTTCTTTTTTTTTTTTTTTGAAATGGAGTTTTGCTCTCACCCAGCATAGATCTGATTTTTATTTTTATTTATTTATTTTTTGTCGCCAGGCTGGAGTGCAGCAGCGTGATCTTGGCTCACTGCAACCTCCGCCGCCCGGGTTCAGGTGATTCTCCTGCCTCAGTCTCCTGAGTAGCTGGGACCACAGGCATGTGCCACCACACCCAGCTAATTTTTTTATTTTTAGTAGAGCTGGGGTTTCACCTGTTGGCCAAGATGGTCTCTATCTCTTGACTTCGTGATCTGTCTGCATCAGCCTCAGCCTCCCAAAGTGCTGGGATTACAGGTGTGAGCCATATCCAGCCAGATCTGATTTTATTTTTCTCTTTTTGAGATAAGAGTCTCGCTCATGTTGCCCAGGCTGGAGTGCAATGGTGCAATCTTGTCTCACTGCAAGCTCCACCTCCCAGGTTCATGCCATTCTCCTGCCTCAGCCTCCCGAGTAGCTGGGACTACAGGCGTCCGCCACCACACCCGGCTAATTTTTTGTGTTTTTAGTAGAGACAGGGTTTCACCGTGTTAGCCAGGATGGTCTACGATCTCCTGACCTCGTGATCCGTCCACCTCGGCCTCCCAAAGTACCAGCATGAGCTACCGCACCCGGCCCTGAGTTTTATAAACAGGGTTTCACTGTCACCCAGGCTACAGTGCAAGTGCAGTGATGTGATCATGGCTCACTGCAGCCTCAACCTCCTGGGCTCAAGTGATCCTTCCCAAGTAACCTTTACTACCAGCACATGCCACCACACCCAGCTAATTTTATTTTTGGGAGTCTCACCACATTGCCCAGACTGATCTCACATTCCTAGCCTCAACTTTAGTCTCCTAAATTGCTGAGATTACAGGTGTGAGCTACCATGCCCTACCTGATCTGATATCATTTTAAATGATATGAGGGAAGATGTAAGGAGTTAACTAAAAAAGCACCGGCCTCGTTCAATATTTTCTATATTTGAAGTCCTACTTTGACCTTTCTTAGCCATGTGACTTTAGACAAGGTACTTCTCCAAATCTCAGTTTACTCACCTACCTCTTATGAGGATTAAATGAGATAATCCGTTAAAGCCCAGAGGGTGGAATATCTTAAATGCCTATAATTTCAACCTGCCATCTTTCCTCTCACCTGGCCCTGCTCTGAAGATGGTGGATTCTTTTGGGACAGGATCTCACTCTGTCACCCAGGCTGGAGTGCTGGGCTCAAGCAGTCCTCCCACTTCAGCCTCCCGAGTGCTGGGACTACTGGTGTGCACCAGGTGGTGGATTCTCAAGTCTTCTTTATCCAGCAGTATCACTGGCTCTTCCTGAGCCCAGAGAGCTGCCCATGAATAGCACTGGGAGCACTGAAGCTCGTTGAGAGTCACTTTTATTGGGAACCATAGTTTTAGAAACAGCAAAATAATTCTTTCACTGGATTGGTTCCAGGAGCCCAGAATATGAGTGGCCCCCTAATCTCCAAACTGATCAATGACCTTCTGTATCCACTTCTTCAGGCGGAACACGTGTGTGTAGAAGCCATATTTCCCATCCCGGTCACAGCCTTCACCCCATGAGACGATGCCCATTTGATACCAGCGTTTGTTTAAGGGGTTCTGAAGAAGAAAGATGAGGTTTCCAATAGAGTCAAGTTCAAGGCCACATCAGTATTCCCCTGCCAGGCAACTGTTTCTAGATACAAGAGTTTCTCCCCATCCCCAGATGAGTTCACCAGGCCCTGGGCTTTAGAGAAGCTTACCTTCATGACAAAGGGTCCCCCGCTGTCGCCTTCACAGGCATCCCCTCGTTTCCCTTCACCAGGCTTGTAACCTTGAGAGAAAACAGCCGTCCGTGCTCAGGAGCATAGCTCGTAGCCCAGCCACGCCCCTTCAGGAGACACAGCTGGTGACAGTCCACTTACCCCTCCAATCATTCTTGCTCTCCTCATTTTCTCGCCCTATACATCCAATCCTAGCAAATCTTGTCGGCTCTACCTTCAACATAGATCCCAAGTCCAACGCCTTCTTACCATTTCTAGCTCCAGCTCCTGAACCACTAGTTTCCTTCATTCTTTGCCCACCTACAATGTATTCTCCCCCCAAGAGGCAGAATAATGCTTTTAAAAAGTTGGACCAGGCCAGGGTAGGTGGCTCATGCCCAAGCTGGGTAGATCATTTGAGCTCAGGAGTTCAAGACCAACCTGGGCAATATGGCAAAACCCTGTTTCTACAAAAAATTAGCTGGGTATGGTGGCACATGCCTGTAGTCCCAGCTACTTGGGAGGCTGAGAGAGGAGGATCCCTTGCGCCTGGGAGGTTAAGGCTGCAGTGAGCCATGATCGTGTCACTACACTCCAGCCTGGGCGACAGAGTGAGACCCTGTCTCAAAAAAATTAATAATGAAAGACCAAGAAAAATTTAAAAATTAAAAAATTAAAAAGTTAGACCTACAAGTCTGATGAGGATAATAATGGTAGTTGCCTTTACCCAAATCTCCCCAAGTAACCTCTACAAACAATACAGAACAACACTAACAACAATAAAACCTACACAGAAAAACCACACCTTCACCAGGTGCTGTGGCTCATACCTATAATCTCAGCACTTTGGGAGGCCAAGGCAGGCAGATCATGAGGTCAGGAGTTTAAGACCAGCCTGGCCAACATGGTGAAACCCTGCCTCTACTAAAAATACAAAAATTAGCCAGGCATAGTGGTGTGCACCTGTAATCCCAGCTACTCAGGAGACTGAGGTAGGAGAATTGCTTGAACCCGGGAGGTTGAGGTGGAGGTTGCAGTGAGTCAAGATTGCACCACTGCAGTACAGCCTGAGTGACAGAACAAGACTCCATCTTGAAAAATAAAATAAAATAATTAGCTGGACATGGTGGCATGTACCTATGGTCCTAGCTATACGTGGGAGGCTGAAGCAAGAAGAGAATTGCTTGAGCCCAGGAGTTCAAGGCTGCAATGAGCTATGACTGTGCCACTGTACTCCAGCCTGGGCAATAGAACAAGACCCTATCTGAAAAAGAAAAAAAAAAAAAAAAAAAAAAAAGGCTAGCAAGAGAACAGCAAAGTAAACCAGACAGAAACATAAGAAAACTTTTTAAGAGATAAAAGCAGAAATTAATGAACCACAATAGAAAAATAATAGGCCTGGCCAGGCGTGGGAGCTCACACCTGTAATCCCAGCACTTTGGGAGGCTGAGGTGGGTGGATCACAAGGTCAGGAGATCGAGACCATCCTGGCGAACACAGTGAAACCCTGTCTCTACTAAAAATACAAAAAATTAGCCAGGCGTGGCAGTGTGCACTTGTAGTCCCAGCTACTCGGAAGGCTGAGGCAGGAGAGCTTGCAGTGAGCCAAGATCGCGCCACTGCACTCCAGCCTGGGTAACAGAGCAAGACTCTGTCTCAAAAAAATAAAAAAAAAAAAAAAGAGAGGCCAGGTGCAGTGGCTCACTCCATGTAATCCCAGCACTTTGGGAGCAGTGGCTCACTCCTGTAATCCCAGCACTTTGGGAAGCTGAGGCAGGCAGATCACGAGGTCAGGAGTTCGAGACCAGCCTGGCTAACATGGTGAAACCCCATCTCTACTAAAAATATAAAAAAATTAGCCAGGCATGGTGGCATGCACCTGTAATCCCAGCTACTAGGGAGGCTGAGGCAGGAGAATCACTTGAACCCAGGAGGTGGAGGTTGTGGTGAGCTGAGATCGCACCACTGCACTCCAGCCTGGGTAACAGAGTGAGACTATGTCTCAAAACAAAAAAAAGAAAAATAATAGGCCTAATAATTTCATAAATCAAATCCCTAGGTATTTGTTTTGAGAAAATCAGCAAGCCATTAGCTAATTTACTCAAGAAAAATAAGATATTACAAATACATAAAATAAGATACCAAGGGAAAAAAGTATAAGAGAACACATTGCAGCAGTCAAGAAAGATACAATAATAGACTTGAACAAATATGAAGACATTTCTTATCCTTGGATAAAATGACTCAGTATAAAAAAATATGTCCATTCTCCCAGTTAGTTTATTAAAATATCATAATCCCAACAAAAATACCACCAAGCTTTTTTATAGACCTAGACATATTGATACTAACGTTCATATGGAAAAACAAACATGCAAGAATTGCTAAGAAAACACTGGAAAGAAAAACTAAAAAAGAACATTAGCCTTCCCAGCTATGTATGCTAAAGCCTCTATCATTAAAACAATGTGATGCTGTGCACAGACAGACAACAGACCAGGAGAGCCAAGTCAAACGTCCAGAAACTTACTCATCCCTAAGCATACTCTATCCATAGAAATCTAGAATGTGGGGCTGGGCACCGTGGCTCATGCTGGTAATCCCAGCACTTTGGGAGGCCAAGGCAGGAGGATCACTTGAGCCCAGGAGTTCGAGACCAGCCTGAGTAACATAGCAAGACCCTGTCTCTACAAATCAAATAAAATTAGCTGGGTGCAGGAAAAAATAAAACTAAAAACTAAAACCTAGGTCAGGTATGATGGCTCATGTCTATAATCCCAGCAGTTTGGGAGGCCAAGGTGGGAGAACTGCTCAAGCCCAGCCAGGAGTTCGAGATCAGCCTGGGCAGCATAGGGAGACTTGTCTCTATTTCAAATAAATAAATGAAAATAAAATACAATCTAGAATGTGATAAAGGTGAAATCTCAAATCACTAGTTCATAGACTTTTTTTTTTTTTTTTTTTTTGAGATGGAGTCTCACTCTGTCGCCAGGCTGGAGTGCAGTGGCGCCATCTCGGCTCACTGCAATCTCCACTTCCCAGGTTCAAGTGATTCCTCTGCCTCAGCCTCCCAAGTAGCTGAGACTACAGGCGCCCACCACCATGCCTGGCTAATTTTTTGTATTTTAATAGAGACACGGTTTCACCATGTCGGCCAGGATTGTCTCAAACTCCTGACCTTGTGATCCACCCACCTCGGCCTCCCAAAGTGCTGGGATTACAGGCGTGAACCACCGCGCCCGGCCAGACAAAGTTTTTGCTTTTGTTGCCCAGGCTGGAGTGCAATGGCGGGATCTCAGCTCACTGCAACCTCCGCCTCCCGGGTTCAAGCAATTCTCCTGCCTCAGCCTCCCGAGTATTTGGGATTATAGGCATGCGCTTTCACGTCTGGCTAATTTTGTATTTTTAGCAGAGATGGGGTTTTTCCATGTTGGGCAGGCTGGTCTTGAACTCCCGACTTCAGGTGGTCCGCCCGCCTCGGCCTCCCAAAGTGCTAGGATTGCAGGTGTGAGCCACCGCACCTGGCTGATTTTTTTTTTAATAGAAACAGGGTCTCACTCTGTTGCCCAGGCTGGAGTGCAATGGAGCAGTCATCTCACTGCAGTATTGAACTCCTAGTCTCAAGCAATCTTCCTAACTCAGCCTCTCAAGTAGCTGAGACTACAAGGCACATGCCACCATGCCCAGCTAATTTTAAAAATATTTTCTTTTTCCTTTTTTGAGATGGAGTCTCACTCTGTCGCCAGGCTGGAGTGCAGTGGCGCCATCTCGGCTCACTGCAACCTCTGCCTCCTGGGTTCAAGCGATTCCCCTGCCTCAGCCTCCTGAGTAGCTGGGACTACAGGTGTGTACCACCACACCCGGCTAATTTTTTGTATTTTAGTGGAGACAGGGGTTTCACCATGTTGGCCAGGATGGTCTTGAACTCCTGACATCAGGTGATCCCCCGCCTCTGCCTCCCAGAGTGCTGGGATTACAGGTGTAAGCCACCACACCTGGCCAGGAAAAGTTTATCTAACTCTGATTCAAAATCCAGATTTAATAAAATAAATGATAAATTTGACTATCTAGTAATTTTTTAAACTGCATGGCCAAAAAAATTATACATGAGGTTAAAAAAACTGACAAATAGCCGGGCACAGTGGCTTAAGCCTGTAATCCCAGCACTTTGGGAGGCCAAGACGGGCGGATCATGAGGTCAGGAGATCGAGACCATCCTGGCTAACATGGTGAAACCCCGTCTCTACTAAAAAAATACAAAAAACTAGCCAGGCGTGGTGGCAGGTGCCTGTAGTCCCAGCTACTCGGGAGGCTGAGGCAGGAGAATGGCATGAACCCGGGAGGCGGAGCTTGCAGTGAGCTGAGATCCGGCCACTGCACTCCAACCTGGGCAACAGAGCGAGACTCCGTCTCAAAAAAAAAAAAAAAAAAAAAAAAAACTGACAAACTAGGAGAAAACATTTGCAATGTATATCACAAATAAAGGCCTAGTATAAATGTGAAGAACTCACAAAAATTGATAAGAAAGGGACCAAAAAATGGGCAAAAAACCATGAAGAGACAATTCACAAAAAAATTATATAACACAAATGCTAGCCAGGCACGCACCTGTGGTCCCAGCTACTCAGGAGGCTGAGGCAGGAGAATTACTTGAACCAGGGAAGTGGAGGTTGCAGTGAGCCAAGATTGCACCATTGCACTCCAGCCTGGGTGACAAAGCAAGACTCTGTCTCAAAAAAATAATTATATAAAAATAGTCCTTAGGCCAGGCGTGGTGGCTCATGCCTGTAATCCCAGCACTTTGGGAGGCCGAGGCGGGAGGATCATGAGGTAAGGAGTTTGAGACGAGCCTGGCCAAAATGGTGAAACCCTGTCTCTACTAAAAATACAAAAATTATCTCGGCACAGTGACTTGCGCCTATAGTCCCAGCTGCTTGGGAGGCTGAGGCAGGAGAATCGCTTGAACCCGGGAGGTGAAGCTTGCAGTGAGCCAAAATTGTGCCACTGTACTCCAGCCTAGGTGACAGAGGGCATCTCAAAAAAAAAAAAAGTTCCTTAATCATACGAAAAGATGTTCAACCTCATTTTCATTTGGAAAGCTATCCATTAAAACAATTTTGATGCACTATTTCTCACCTCTCAGATTGATAAAAATTTAAAACTGTGACATTCTTTTGGCAAGGTTGTAGGGAAACAGGCATTCTCATACACTGTGATGGAAATGCAAACTGGTACAACCCTTATGGAAAGAAATTTTAAAATCTCTAAAAAATGACATACATGTTTGCCTTTTGACCTAACAATACTACTTCTAAAAATTTCCTAGGAGAGGCCAGGCATGGTGGCTCACATCTGTAATCCCAGCACTTTGGGAGGCCGACTTGGTTGGATCACTTGAGCTCAGAGTTCAAGACCAGTCTGGGCAACACAGTAAGACCCAGTCTCTACAAAAAATACAAAAATTAGCTGGGCATGGTGGTGTGTGCCTGTAGCCCCAGCTACTCAGGAGGCTAAAGTGAGAGGTTGGCTTGAGTTCAGGAGGCAGAGGTTGCAGTGGGCCAAGCCCAGCCATAGGATTGGTTTTAATAGAGTTACGGATGGAGGATTTTGAAACTGTAATCTACTATCGCTCAAATAGGCAAATGCATTACAGATAATGGGGGTCAGGTTTCTTACTGTCAACAGAGAAAGTTACAAATATGGAAAAAAGCTAAAATTAATCCTGTGGTGTTAGAATGGAATTGGAGGTTTCAGTAGGAACTCACGGTTTTTTATATAGATGATAGAGATATTGGTATATGCATCGTATAATTTTTTTCTGGTCCTGTCCACTAAGAGAGCCTAGAAGTAATGACATCCCCCTAGCAATGTGCACACGCCAGCACCCAGATCTCAGTTCTAAATTCCAGTCTCCACTAGAAGGGTTCCCTGGAGAAATGGCTGCTTCCAACACTACAGTCAGGAAAGTAGGATTACCCTGAAACATCTTGCTATGCCAGAAAGTAAGAAAGTACTCAAAGAATGACAGAACATCTCCCCAAGTCACAGAAGCCAGCTTGAAGGGACTCCCACTGGCCAAACTTGGGATCATCTGAGCATCAAAAGAAATAACAGTAGTAACAAAGTATGGCCTGGCACAGTGGCTCATGCCCGTAATCCCAGAACCTTGGGAGGCTGAGGTGGGCGGATCACCTGAGGTCAGGAGTTCAAGACCAGCCTGGCCAACATGGTGAAACCTTGTCTCTACTACAAATACAAAAATTAGCTGGGCGTGGTGGTACATGCCTGTGATTCCAGCTATTAGGGAGGCCGAGGTGGGAGAATCGCTTGAATCTGGGAGGAGGATGTTGCAGTGAGCCGAGATTGTGCCACTGCACTCAAGCCTGGGTGACAGCAAGGCTGTGTAAAAAAAAATTTCTGGGTTTTAATATTTGTACTGTGGGGCCGGGCGCGGTGGCTCAAGCCTGTAATCCCAGCACTTTGGGAGGCCGAGACGGGCGGATCACGAGGTCAGGAGATCGAGACCATCCTGGCTAACACGGTGAAACCCCGTCTCTACTAAAAAATACAAAAAACTAGCCGGGCGAGGTGGCGGGCGCCTGTAGTCCCAGCTACTCGGGAGGCTGAGGCAGGGGAATGGCGTGAACCCGGGAGGCGGAGCTTGCAGTGAGCCGAGATCCGGTCACTGCACTCCAGCCCGGGCAACAGAGCAAGACTCCGTCTCAAAAAAAAAAAAAAAAAAAAAAAAAAAAAATTTGTACTGTGGTTATATAAGAGAACATCCTTGGGTTGGGTTTTTTTTTTTTTTTTTTTTTTGGAAATACTTAAGTATTTATGGGTGAAAAGAAACCATATTCACGATTTGCTCTCAAACTATGCATATATATATATATATATATATATATATATATATATATATATGCTCCCACACATCCACAGAATGGAGGACAATCTGGATGACAGTATACAGGAAATCTTTGTATTATTTTTGCAACTTTTCTGTGAGTCTGAAATTACACTAAATTTTTATTTTTTACTTTTCAAGTCAGTCAGATCATTTCTTAACCTGCCTCAAGCCCCTCGATAACTTCCCATCTCACTCAATAAAGTCCTTCCAGGCCCTAAAGGAAGTGGCTCTCCTCTGCCTGGCCCCTTCTCTCTCTCACCCACTGCTGCCCCTCCTCAGCACCCCAGGCCTCCCTACTGCTCCCCAGACAAGACAAGTGTGCTCCCACCTCAGGGCCTTTGCGCCTGCCATGCCCCCAGCCTGCGGTGCTCCTCCCCTAGACATGCCTGCTCACTCCTTCCTTCCCCTCCTCCAGTCCCTGCCCAGACATCACCTTCTCAGGGAGGCCTTCTCCAACCTTCTCTGGCTACCTGACTGATTGATTGATTGATTGATCGATCGATGGAGTCTCACTCTCTTGCCCAGGCTGGAGTGCAGCTCACTGCCCGAATTCAGCTCACTGCAACCTCTGCCTCCTGGGCTCAAGCAATTCTCTTGCCTCAGTCTCCTGAGTAGCTGGGATTACAGGCATGCGTCACCATGCCCGGCAAATTTTTGTATTTTTAGTAGAGACAGGGTTTCACCATGTTGGCCAGGCTGGTTTCGAACTCCTGACCTCAAGTGATCTGCCCGCCTTGTCTGGCCACCCTATTTAGAAGCCCACCTCATCAGCCCTTCTCTCTCCCTGTGCTTCATTTTTCTTCACAGCACCGGTCAGGCATTGCTGTTTTAGATCTGTTTACGGACGTGCCCTCCTCCCAGGAAGGAAGCCCTCAGCACAGACATTGTCGGTCTGGGTCCCTGCTGTATACCCTAGAACACTGCCTGGAAGGTAATAAGCGCTCAATAAATATCTGCTGAGCGGTTGAATGAATGGCGTTTCCCCACCCGCAGCCTCTCTTGCTGCTATCTGAGCTCACATATATTGAACACTTCACTGGTGACTGATACTATGCCAAATATATTAATGTATGCTACTTCATTTAACCCTCCCATAACCTTATGGGATAGAGACTTTTACCTCCATTTTACAGAGGAAGAAACTGAGCCACCAAGAGGTTAGGCAACTTGCCCAAAGTCACATGCCTTGAACCCAGGCACAACTCAGTCCTCCCAACCCCGGCCCCACTGTTTCCTCAGCCCACCCCAGACTTGCCAGCACAGAACATGTTGTCAGTGATGCGGATCCGAGTAGAGTCCTTGCAGACCGACCGCTCCACGATGGGCAGGTTCACCACCTGCAGGACGCTGGGCTGCACCTTACCAACGTTGGCCGTCCACGTCTCCTTCAGGTTGCCCCAGCCTGCCACCCGCCCCTTGTATCCAGCCTGGAACAAGCTTTGGGGAAGGAAGAAGGGCCTGGTGAGAGCCAACCCTTGCAGGAGCCGCCTGGCCCCAACGCCATTTCTTAGAGACCAGAATCTAAAACGTCCGTGCTGGCAGGGCACAGAGGCTCACGCCTCTGGTCTTGGCACTTTGGGAGGCCGAGGCGGGCGGATCACTTGAGGTCAGGGGTTTGAGACCAGCCTGGCTGACATGGTGAAACCCACCAGTCTCTACTAAAAATACAAAAATTAGCCTGTAATCCCAGCTACTCAGGAGGCTGAGGCAGGAGAGTCGCTTGAACCTGGGAGGAGGGGTTGCAGTGAGCCCAGATCACACGACTACACTCCAGCCTGGGAGACAAGAGTGGAACTCCGTCAATAAATTATTTATTATGTTTATTTAACATAAATAAAAAATAAAACGCCAGTGCTGAAAAGAACTTTTGGGTTCACTCCAAGAAACTGAGGCCTGGAAAAGGGAAAGGGGCTCCTGCAAGGCTGCCTGGTATCAGAGCCAGGCCCAGAACTCGGCTTCTGCCCCTCAGCTAATAAGCGTCTGGTTGCCCACCTGGCTGCCGTCTCCCTGTCGGGCAGGCACACAGGGTAGATGTAGTCGCTGAAGGTAATGGGCTTCTTCAGCTTCATCAGGGCAATGTCCCGGTCCAGGTTCTCCCGCCAGTTGTACCTGGGGTGGATGTAGATCTTTTCCAGCATGGATATCTTTTCGATGTTTCGCTCATACCTGCAGAGACCCCAAGAGAGAAATGGAGAAGCTGCAGGTTCACCCAGCAAGGGGCAGGAAACTGCCTGCCCTTGGGGTCTGGGAGACAGGGTGTCCTGCAGGCCACCAGGGAGGGGATAGGGCTGGCTCCTGCCGTGGCAGCCCCCTGGCCATTTCTTCCTGGGCCTAAAGCCGTGCAGGGCTTTGAAGTCAGACAGTCAGAAGGACAGGGACAATGGCACAGGCTGCACACCCTGGTCCAGACAGACTCTATTTTTGGAGACTCCCACATGGGCCATATCCTGGTGTTGGAGGGCCCAGGAGACAGACAGATTTCTCCCCTCTAGCTCCAAGCCTCAGTCAGGACATGACCAAATGGACTTTCCAGCAGAGACTGCCGGGATGTCATATTCTGGGGGGTATACAGAACATCCCATTGTCCCGGAGCCACCAGGGCCCCTCATGATCGCTCTGGAGGACTCAGACCCCTGCCAGACACCCACAGGCCACCAGTTCTGTACCTGGTGCGGGAGTGCTTGCCAATGCGCACCAGAAGGTCATTCTCAGTGAAGTTCTTGTCCCAGGGCGGGTACAGGAGGCAGTGGGCGGCGGTGAGGACCCAGCGGTCACTGATGAGGCTGGCCCCACACAGCAGCTCCTGGGGACTCTTCCGGAAAAGCATCACCTGCCTAGGAGGGGGAGCAGGAAGCATTAGGAGCTGAGGGTGAGGGGGCTGCCTGTACACCAGCCCTAGAAGTAACAAGTCCCAGGTCTAAGAACCCAGCGGGGCAGAGCTGCCTCCGGGGCCCAGATCCAAGCTTGGGCTGGCCGCCCTTGGGGCCTGGAGCCTCCATGTGATGCTGAGGGGCTGCCTCACACTTTTTTTTTTTTTTTTTTTTT